CTCACACTCTTAAACTCAAGAGCAACAATGAAAAAATGGGCAATAATTACTCTTTTCTTTACGGCACATGATTTAGGTAAGAACAGTCTTTCATCATTTACACTTTATTTATTTGAGTATATCTGTATATGATTGTTAATTTATGCTTCATCTCCTCAGTGTGCCGGGGACAGGACCGTGTTGATCAGCCTTTAAGAGAAAAGACTTCAGCTGAGGGAAATCAAGTGACTTTACTGTGTAATTATACACTCATGAGTGCTGCAAATGCTTATCTCTTCTGGTACAAACAGCTACTAAACAAATCACCAACACTCATTCTGAGTGAATTTACAGTTGGAAAAGGAACTACTGAGGATGAATTTAAGGAGAGATTTTCTGCAACATTGAACTCCACATCAAGATCTGTTCCACTGACAATCCAGGATGTGTGTGTGTCAGACTCTGCTGTGTATTACTGTGCTCTGAAGCCCACTGTGACTCAAACACACTCAACACTCATACAAAAACACATTTCTCTTCTCTTACATATATTGGTGACAAATGTATAAACATGTTACATAATGAATCAATACTAGTTATTAAATGATAATAAAAAACGATAGTAGTTGAGTAACATTCAATCTTTTAATGGTACAGGTCTAATATTTTTCACAGCTTCTTCACATAATATACCCAAGTAGAATTATGTTAAGTGCTCCATCTTCTAGAAAAATGTAGATCTGTGCTTGAACGAAAAACTGTGAAGAGACTGATAAAACAAACATCAGAACATTGAAAAGTAAAAAAACAAAAACAAAAAAAAACCCAGAATCTTTAAGGAGGAGACATTCAATATTCAGGAACTGTGGTGCAGTGAGACTCCTCCTGCAGTTCTCTGCATGTGTGACAGTGTTAATACAACTTTATCAAAGAGAGGCTGAAACAAGAGTCTGCTGTATTTCAACAAAACATTTTTTTTTTATCTGAAGTATTATTTAACAATTATTGTGATGGCAAATTGGTACAAAATTGTCGTCTTCTTTCTCACATATTTCTGGGGTAAGTAAATTCTGTAAGTATATGCTGTAATATTCCTCTAATATGAATATGAGATCCTCATCAGTGATGTTATACATTACAGGATGTGATTCTCTGGACAGCGTTGAACAAAATCCAAGATTTCAAACTGCTGTTGAAGGAGCAGCTGTAACAATCAACTGTCAATATGAAACCACTGATGTTTCACCATATCTCTTCTGGTACCAGCAAAAAGTGAATGGATTTCCAGAATACATGCTGGACAGATTCGGTACTAATGACAAGCAGTTCAAGGATAGATTTAACAGCGATTTCAACAAAACTTCAAAATCATTTCCATTGACAATCCAAGATGTGCGTGTGTCTGACTCTGCTGTGTATTACTGTGCTCTGAGGCCCACAGTCACAGGAAACACATCATCACTGTACAAAAACCTGACACAGCTGAAGGTGCACAACTAATTTCCTACCATAAAAATCTATCTGAATTAAAGGTAGGTTATGAATTCATAATATATAAATAAATATGTGAAGGTGAAAACTTTTGAAGCAGTGATATGATAAAGTATGCTTATTTTTTCTTAATACCTTAAATTAAATTTATTCACACTGTACTCTAGGATGTAAATCACTGACAAAATGTTCATTTATATACAGTTCAACTAGCTTTTTTGTCTATGCATGTGCCAACTATACAAAACCAGATGAATACTTGTTTTAGCACCACTAAAAATAAATCCCTAAATTTGTGCTGTGTACATATGCACAAAACAGAGAATATCTGCTGATGGTTTATGTATCTAGAATACTGTAACAGCCAAAGTATGAGCAAAATAAGGCAGATCATATTCTGTAGGTTGAGATCTGTGGATTTATATTATACGACAGAGATTGTAAGTAACCACAAGAGGGTGCTATTCGCTATTGCAATAGTGATGACACTGGAACATGAAACTGATCTGCTCTCTACAAGAGCTCTCTGGAAGAGGGAGGGTTTAAAGCATTGATATTTGGTAAGATGTTGTTAAACTTAAGACAGACCATAAGAAACACACACAATGATACTCCATTCTATCCTTCTGCTTTCTGCCTTTGCATGTAAGTAATTAAGTGTTTTGTGTTTTGCATCTACAGCAATTATTCTGGATTCTGGATCCAGAATACTTGTCAAGTATTAAGTGTATTCCTTTATGTTGTATATTGCATTGTATAAATATACATCTCAAATAGATTAAATTGAAACACCAGTTCATTAAAGATTTGATTTTGCAGATGCAACGTATGGAAATGAAATTAAACCAACCGAAACAGAGGAGTTTGCTGACGAGGGTTCAAGTGTTACATTATCCTGCAGTTATTCCTCTGCATATATTCTTCACTGGTACCGTCAGTATCCCGGATCAGCTCCTGAATTCCTTGCGCTCATCTCAGACGGTGCAAAAGAAGCTCAGAAGTCTGATGTAGATTCCAGATTCACTTCTGAGATCAGAAAAGAAAAACAAAGCCATGTGGATCTGAAGATCTCCTCTGCTGCTCTGAAAGACTCTGCTGTGTATTACTGTGCTCTGCAGCCCACAGTCACAGGAAACACTAGAACACTGTCCAAAAACCTGACACCACTGAAAAGGCATTTATGCCTTCTACTTAACAGACTGAAGCACATAACAATCAAAATAATCACATTCCCAAATTGCCAATTCAGACACTTAGAACAAGAGTGATAGAACACATTCAAAGGCCTATGTTTAAAATTACATAATAACTTTGTACAAACCCAACATTACAGTCATTATACACTCACCTAAAGGATTATTAGGAACACCATACTAATAATGTGTTTGACCCCCTTTCGCCTTCAGAACTGCCTTAATTCTCTACGTGGCATTGATTCAACAAGGTGCTAACAAGGCCCATATTGATAGGATAGCATCTTGCAGTTGATGGAGATTTGTGGGATGCACATCCAGGGCACGAAGCTCCCGTTCCACCACATCCCAAAGATGCTCTATTGGGTTGAGATCTGGCGACTGTGGGGGCCATTTTAGTACAGTGAACTCATTGTCATGTTCAAGAAACCAATTTGAAATGTTTTGAGCTTTGTGACATGGTGCATTATCCTGCTGGAAGTAGCCATCAGAGGATGGGTACATGGTGGCCATAAAAGGATGGACATGGTCAGAAACAATGCTCAGGTAGGCCGTGGCATTTAAACGGGGCCTAAAAGGGGCCTAAAGTGTGCCAAGAAAACATCCCCCACACCATTACACCACCACCACCAGCCTGCACAGTGGTAACAAGGCATGATGGATCCATGTTCTCATTCTGTTTATGCCAAATTCTGACTCTACCATCTGAATGTCTCAACAGAAATCGAGACTCATCAGACCAGGCAACATTTTTCCAGTCTTCAACTGTCCAATTTTTGTGAGCTCTTGCAAATTGTAGCCTCTTTTTCCTATTTGTAGTGGAGATGAGTGGTACCCGGTGGGGTCTTCTGCTGTTGTACCCCATCCGCCTCAAGGTTGTGCGTGTTGTGGCTTCACAAATGCTTTGCTGCATACCGCGGTTGTAACGAGTGGTTATTTCAGTCAAAGTTGCTCTTCTATCAGCTTGAATCAGTCGGCCCATTCTCCTCTGACCTCTAGTTTCAACAAGGCATTTTCGCCCTCAGGACTGCCGCATACTGGATCTTTTTCCCTTTTCACACCATTCTTTGTAAACTGTAGAAATGGTTGTGCGTGAAAATCCCAGTAACTGAGCAGATTGTGAAATACTCAGACTGGCCCGTCTGGCACCAACAACCATGCCACGCTCAAAATTGCTTAAATCACCTTTCTTTCCCATTCTGAAAATTCAGTTTGGAGTTCAGGAGATTGTCTTGACCAGGACCACACCCCTAAATGCATTGAAGCAACTACCATGTGATTGCTTGATTATATAATTGCATTAATGAGAAATTGAACAGGTGTTCCTAATAATCCTTTAGGTGAGTGTATGTGCTGTAAGTTAAATATATTTCACAATGTAACGTCTACCAGCATTTATAAAAAATAAAACAAGACAAAATAAAATATGCAGGGAGAGAAGAAACACCAGACTTTATTAAACTACTTAAATTAAACTTGATTCTCATTTTGTAATGCTTTTGGGTAACCATATTAACCACATATTCATATTACAGTATCAAGCCTCATTACAGGATCATTAGCTCCTCCTTTGGACATTGGACTCCACATCAAGATCAAATCCTCTGACAATCCAGGATGTGTGTGTGTGTGTGTGTGTGTGTGTGTGTGTGTGTGTGTGTGTGTGTGTGTGTGTGTGTGTGTGTGTGTGTGTGTGTGTGTGTGTGTGTGTGTGTGTGTGTGTGTGTGTGTGTGTGATCAAAACTGGATCAGCATTCATGCTCCACGGCCAGTTATTGGTCTAATAAAGGTACAACATCTTACAAAAACTTTTACACTCAATGTATTTGGAATGAACTTCCAAATCTGAATCAATCACATGAGCCTCAAACCATCACAACAATCAAAAACACCTGAAGTCCATCTCTTTAGTGAACATTTAACTAATGCATGAGCATATGCAGTGGGGACCTGAATCTGGAAATAAAGTATTTAGACTTTGAAACGTTTAAAACAAGAATATTTATGACACTATAAACAAGAATTATTTAAGATTCATATAACTATTTTTAGGTCACTATCAAATTAGTGACATTGACCTTGCAAAATAATAATATTATAATTATACGGTTTAATATACCTCTACTCTAGATCAGTACTATTTTAGACATGTTAAAATCTTATCATAGCACTGTTAATATTATTATTGCCTAATTAATCATTCATATTTGTATTTCTCTTAGGAAAAATCATCTGCTAAATAAAGAAATAAATATGTATAATTTATCGCAGTTGCAAAAGTTTTCCTCTAGGGGTAGGCAATGGCAGAGCAAAAACATGAGACACGGAGCATCACAATGAAAGTAGTTCCGGTGTGTTTATGAGTGAAACTGCAGAAACTCAGTAACACAAAGCTACAGCTCAGAACACAGAGCAGATTAATACACAACTGATCTGACCTATAAACATGGAAAAACACCTTTTTCTGATTTTAATTCTAATTTCTGGTACAATATCACTCTTAATTACTTACAGTGGTATTCAGAATTATCTAAATGATTGACTCACAAATGATTTTGCTTTTTATTGTTTTAGGTGTGATGACTGCCGACCAGATTGGGCCAAATAAAGAAACTTTCATCATAAAGAAGGAAGACGAGACTGTGACTCTCAGCTGCTCATATACAACTAGCAGCAGTTATCGTTATCTTTACTGGTACAGACAGTATGCTAATAGTGAACCTCAATATTTAATATTTAAACCTGCCGGATCAGCTACTACAAGTGGGAACCCCTCTGATCCTCGCTTTCAGTCGACGACATCAGATTCATCCACTGAACTCATGATTAACGGAGTAACTCTGTCAGATTCAGCTCTCTATTACTGTGCTCTAAGAGTTGGAGCCCAGTGATACAAAATCTATGTGAAGCTGTACAAAAACTCGTATTAATTTTGCCCCTTTGATGCCAAGCCACATCAAACCCACAATCTATAATTCACATAATATAATTACACTTGTTGAAACACCTGTGTGTGTGGTTACTGTAAGGGAAATGAAAAGTAAAAACTTCACTCAAAGTTAAATTCTTCATATAGTACAAACTAACATGTCCAATAAATGTCATTTTATTTCTTATTTCTGAATTAATTGGTTCTGACATTAGTCACACTGTGATTTATGTCAGAATATGAATTGAATTTAAATGGTTCAGCTCAGCAAACTCTATTCAAACTCACCACAAGGAGGCATCATTCCTCAAATTCGTATATAAGGCTGAACCAGACCTTTTGAAGAATCTGAAACTATAAAGAGAAACAGAGACAGAAAATACTTCTGGACATTTCTGTTAAAATAGTCTCTCTTTTTAACTTGAATCGACAATGGCAAAATGGGTGATTATTTCTCTTTTCATTTTTGGTAAGAACATTATTTCATAATTCTCACTGTACTATCTGTGTGAGATACTCAATATATGCACATGAATAATGTAAATCTATTTTCCAGTGTGCCGGGCACAAGACAATGTTGAACAGCCTTCAGGAGAAATGACTGCAAATGAACAAGATCAAGTTACTATACTGTGCAATTACACTACCACAGCTACAAATGCATATCTCTTCTGGTACAAACAACTACCAAACAGTTTACCAACACTCATTCTGAGTGAATTTACAGTTGGAAAAGGAACTACAGAGGATGAATTTAAGGAGAGATTTTCTGCAACATTGAACTCCACATCAAAAACAGTTCCTCTGACAATCCAGGATGTGTGTGTGTCTGACTCTGCTGTGTATTACTGTGCTCTGAGGCCCACTGTGACTCAAACACACTCAACACTCATGCAAAAACCTTGTGTGCGCATTCACATGCCTCAAAGTATTTATAAATTTAGATTTGAATTTTGTCTATTATCGATAAATTTGCTTTAATTGGTGTTTAATTATTATTTGATTAATCTCTCTTTAATGTATCTATTGTTCCTTTCTATTTGACAACAAATAATACAGTCAGCATTTCTTTATCATTACTGTGACTATAAAAAAACTGAGACTTTTTTGCTTTTTAAATGTAATTGTTATACAGGCTAAAAATCCAAACCACAAACCAAAAGGTGAAGACATTCCAAACCTTCACAAATGTTGACATTGAATCAACATTTAGCATGAATCTTTACACACATCAAAATATTAATTTATCACAACAATGGAAAAAAATGGGTGAATAATTATTACACTTTTCTTCACAGCACAGGGCTTTAATAAGAAATAACACCATTTACACCTTATTCTTTGTTTATATGTGAGTTATGTAAATTATTAATAGTTAAAAGAAATTCCATCGTGCTGGGGGCAACAGTTGAACTGCCTTCAAGAAAACTGACTGCAAATAAAGAGGATCAAATAACTTTAATGTGTAATTACACTACCAGAGCTGCAAATACAAATGCATATCTCTTCTGGTACAAACAACTACCAAACAAATCAACAACGTGAACGTTCATTCTAAAGAATTTTTTTTGTTTGTTTTTTGTTGAAGGATCTACAGAGTCTGATTTTAGGGAGAGATTTTCTGCAACAAAACTTGGACATCAAGTTCCTCTGACAATCCAATCCAGGATGTGTGTGTGTGTGTCTGACTCTGCTGTGTTACTGTGCTCTGAGGCCCAATGTGACTGAAACAGTACTTAATGTGGAAAGATGCTCGTTGTTTGGAAAGCTGATTATTATTGAACTTCAATTATTATTGAACTTCAATTTATTCATTCATTCACAGAACACTACAAATTCATGTTTACAGATTTAAAGAACCATTCTGTAAAAGAAAAGGACCTCCCAGAAGCCAAATCCTGGCTTATAAATAGGGCCCTTCAAGACACATAATCAGCACTTACAACAACAAAGAATAATCCACCCACCCAATACCCATCCACACCCAACAACAACACTATTCACCACAAAATATCCACCCCCAGCCAGCATACATCACGCATCTCATCCATCCCTCAAACTAAATCCAATAATAGGGGTATTCAAGAAAGTCAGATAAATCAATAAAATATGAAACCTTCAGCCTTGTGGGTCTATCATGCATAATGTTGTAACAATTTGTGTTTAAGATACTTTTTAACCCTCAGGTGCTCTTCGTTTCGGAGTCACACTTGTTATCTTCCCGGTCAGAAGTGACCGGACACCTAAAAATGAAACTTCCTCCATCCCAGTAAAACCAATGCAATTTATTTTTGTTCAATAATATTTTTTCTTTTTAATTTTGTATTTTGAGACAATTTGATGTTACTTATTAATATTTATGCAATATTTATGGTCCATTTTTGCCATTGAAAACAATACAATTTTATTTTTTTCCTAATTTATAAAAATATTTCTTCAATTATTGCAGTATTTCAGATTAATATAGAGACCTGGCCTTTTGAATCCAATTTTTGAAGTCAGATTAGCACCATCTGTTGAGAGAAATTAAAATAAAACATGTCGTTTCATAGTGTAACCACTAGATGCCTGTATAGCTCTCTATGGAGAGGCTTGTGAATTGTCTAATAGTTTTTGGACAAAATTACTTACTTTTAAGATGTGGATTGGATTTGAATGTGTTTTTTTTTAATTCTCAAATAATATTTTTTGCCATGGTTTATAATTTTTTTTTAAATAAATTTGATGTGAAGTGTACACGTTTTTGCATTATACTACAGTCAAACCTGAATACAGAGAAAGCATTCTGTTACAGGTAACATTACAATTCAATAAAAAAAAATAAAAAAATAAACAGTAATGGTTTTTCACAGCTTATTATTATTATTTTAAAACATATTAATTTATTATTTGTAAATATTATATTAATTATTATTTTAATAATTTTAATAATTATTATATTATATATTATATATATATATATATTAATTATAATTATTAATTATGTTATGTTTTTCACTATTGATGTTTTTTTTCTGCATTGTGGCCGATTTGTAGAGAATTTGTGTTTGTCAATTTCCCATTCATTTCCTATGGTCGGTCAATTCATTGGTGTGTATGTGTATAAAAAGTGTGTTTGTGTGTGTGTTTGTGTGTGTGAGTGTGTCTGTTTTGCACTCTTGGTGTTTTAGAGTGTCACCCCTTCATTGTTGAGCACTTTTTTCCTGCATCGTGGCCAATTTGTAGATTGTACACACAAAAATTCTCAGAATTTTTGCGTTTTTGTCAATTTCCCATTCATTTCCTATGGTCGGTCATGTTTGACAGAAGAGCAAAAGTGTGACTCATTTTTTTATGACCACTTAAACTGCTCGAATCATGACCTCACATTTTTTGTGTGTTCACATACCTATTGTCATAAAAGTCACCAAGTTTCGTAATTTTCTGATGAAGCTGTGATTTTTAAATATTCAAAACAGATTTCTTTAATCACAATTTATTGGTGTTTTTGTGTATAAAAGTGTGTGTGGGTGGGTATGTCTGTTTTGCACTCTTGATGTTTTAGAGTGTCACCCCTTCAATGCTGAGCACTTTTTTTTCTGCATCATGGCCGATTTGTAGATTGTACACACAAAAATTCTTAAAGTTTTTGTGTTTTTTGTCAATTTCCCATTCATTTCCTATGGTCGGTCATTTTTGACCGAAGAGCACAAGTGTGACTATTTTTTTTACGACCACTTAGCCTGCTCGGATCATGACCTCAATTTTTTTGTGTGTTCACATACCCAATGCCATAAAAGTCACCAAGTTTCGTAACATTCCGTGATTTTGATTTTTAAAAATTTAAAACAGAAAATTTTTCGGTCAGAATTGACCGAAGAGCACCTGAGGGTTAAATATATCAAGAGAAGGTAGTTCCTTTATAGAATTGTCAATCTCATTCCAGATCCCAGGACCCGTACATGCTATACTAAAGCAAGTACACTTCAGCTTACGCTTTTTCCCTCGTACTAAAGTTCTCCTTCTAGTGTTATGGTCATGAATAGATGAGGTGACTGGAATGAGATGGCAAAGTTTTGGATGCAATTTATAAACTACGTTATACATAATACAAGCATTCTGAAAACTGTTGCACTCAGCGAGCTTCAAAAGCTTATACCTATAAAAAAGCGGACCAAAGGGAGCATCATAATTTGCCCATGATGTTACACGTATAACTTTCTTCTGTAAGATCTGTAATTTTTCAAGATAGCTTGGATACGTGTTACACCATATGATATTACAATAATTTAGATGTGATTCGAAAAGAGACCGGTACAATGTTAGAAGAGCATTAAAAGGAAGATCATATCTTAATTTATAGAACAGACCAACATATTTTGACAATTCTTGTGTTAAACATTCTATATGTTGTTTAAAGTTTAAGGACTCATCTAAATAAATTCCTAAGAATTTGATGTTCTCTACTCTTTTAATTACTTTATGTATTTTGATTTGTATCCTTTCAATGTTTGTCCGGCTTCTATTTGAACGAAATATAATAAATTTGGTTTTAGATACATTTACTGATAATTTGTTACATTTAAACCAACTATCTACTTTAACTAATTCCTCATTAACAAGCTTTTGTAAAATATCCGGATTATTATGAGACAAAAAAAGATTAGTGTCATCTGCAAAGATAACCTGATGAAAAATATTTGATGAACTTATAATGTCATTTACATACAAAATAAAAAGAAGTGGACCTAATATGGAGCCCTGGGGGACTCCACAAACGATATCTGTGCATTCTGAATAACTATTGTTTATTTGGACAAATTGCTCCCTATCAGTTAGGTAACTTTTGAACCAGCAGAGTGCCTTCCCTCTGACCCCATATTGTTGCAATTTCCCAATTAGAATTTCTAAATCAATGGTGTCGAAGATTTCAGTCGACTACATCACACTTATCCACTAAACTCATAATTAATGGTGTAACTCTGTCAGATTCAGCTCTCTATTACTGTGATCTAGTCCAGTGATACAGTCTATGTGAAGCTGTACAAAAATTACTCATTT